CCTCCTCCTCCTCCTCCTCCTCCTCCTCCTCCTCCTCCTCCTCCTCCTCCTCCTCCTCCTCCTCCTCCTCCTCCTCTCTCCTCCTCCTCCTCCTCCTCCTCCTCCTCCTCCTCCTCCTCCTCCCTTCCCCTGCTCCTCCTCCCCCTCTTTTTCCCTCCTCCCCCCTTCCCCTTCGCCTTCCTCTTCCCCGACAAGGACGGCTCGCAAGGTCTTCTGGGGGGGGGGCTTGTGACGGGAGAGAGTATTACAGCATAGTTGATGCCTGCTGGGTTTGCTCTGGTCCTCATCATCTTTCTCCATCCTACTTCCTCAGAAGGAACAACCGCGAATACGTAAACTTTCGGAGGTCCGCGCGGGTTTCTTGGAACGGCGCTAGAAGGAGCACCGTGCCGAGCAAGTGCTGACCTCGACACGTACTCAGCACGGCGGGCACTCGAAGGAGGGAAGTCCCCTCACGACACTTACACGTCGGCGCGGACCTCCTCCCTTGCGCAAGGGGCGCGTCAAGAGCGGCACCACCAGGGGGTCCAGCGCCGAGCCAAGAGATCCGCGCGGAGGTCCGAAAGTTTATGTTCATGCAGTTTTTTGATCCTCGAGATCCTCTGCCTGATCCTCGTCCTGATCCTCATCCTCCCGCGTGGAGCCCACAGTGGCCCTGATGCTGCTCCTCAGAGACTCCAGCGACAACTCCGAGGAGACCGACGCCTTCGCGTGCTCCACCGAGCACAACCTCCGCTGCACCTTGCCAGGAGGTCCAGTCGCCGATTGGTCCCCCCTCCACCTCCCCCTTCCTCTTTCCTCCTGCTCATCTGTCCTCCACCTCCTGCTTGGTGAGGCCCCCGGTTGTGCACAGACAGCACCCCCAGGTAGTCTTGGCTGGCGTCAACAAGTCCCCCGAGTAGTCCTGGGCGGTCTCATCAACACCCTGGCGCCGCCTCCGCGTGCGCCTCTGGGGCGCTCCGCGCCCCAAGGCTGGTGTGCATGAGCCGCCCCGGACTTCTTGGAACCTGTTGAGCCCAGCTGGGACTGACTCGGGGGGAAGCTGTCTGTTCGCAACCCGAAGCCCTGATTATCACATCCTCCTCCTCCTCCTCAATTACTTCTTTTCCTCATGAATAGCTTCTCCCTGTCGCACACCGAGGCCAGTTTCTCGGGCGGGCCGGGCGTTTCGCCTGAGACTTCCTAACCATTTATGACCCTGAAGCTTAACCATTGACAACAGCTTCACAAATGGAGGGCGGGTGGTTTTCAAAATGTGGCTCTCGCCTTATCGCCGCGCATATTCGTTTAAACAAATTGCAAAAGTTTCACGGATTGAGGGCGGTTCCTTTTCACCATGTGGCTCTCGCCTTAGCGCCGCGCACATTCGACCTGAACATTTGCACAACATTTCTCGGATTCAGGGCGGGTGGTTTTCACGTTTTGAGGGCGGGTGGTTTTCGAAATGTGGCTCTGGCCTTAGCGCCGCGAAACATCGCTTTAAACACATTGCAAGAGCTTCGTGGATTGAGGGCGGTTCCTCTTCAACACGTGGCTCTCGCCTGAGCTCGGCGTACATTCGTTTCAATCTGTTGCAAGAGTTTCACGGATTCCAATGATCAGCGTACCAGATCATGGTGTTTTGGAGTTGTAAAGAGTCAGGATTATGAGGGTGCAACAGTTAATTACGTTGATTCGCGGTGCTGAAGTCCCAGGAATGGCGTTCCGGCGCGATTCAGGATCGTCGGGACGCCAGTCAGATTGAGCCGTGGAGTTGGAGTCCTGAGAATAATGCTTTGGCATGCTTCAGGGTCTTCAAGCGGTTGTCTTCCACCGAGGCAGTTCCCTCAGTGGAAGTGGACTGTTGCATGGGCCTATGAAGAGGGAGCTTGGAGGGAGGGTTTATTCCAACATCGTTGATGACTCTTGGGTTTGCACTGCTCCTCCTCCTCCTCCTCCTCCTCCTCCGTACCTTGCCAGAGACCCAGATCTCGCATCGCGTGGCCGCCTGGACGCAACTGATGAACCTGCTCGTCATCTGGACGTCGAAGTCGTTCATCCGGTGCAGCAGGCGGGCGCACTCCTCGGGCGCCATGGAGGCGAGGAGCGACGCCAGGCGGTGCAGGCTGCCGCCCAGCGCCTCGCGGCTCGGGCCCGCGAGGGCCTGCAGCCCGAAGTCCGCGGACGGCCCGCCCCGCGCGAGCAGGAGGCAGGTGGCCGCCACGAAGCCCGTGCCGATGACGACGAGCAGCAGGGTCAGCACAAACGCCAGGCCCCCTTGCCAGCCTGGGGACTGCGCGGGGGGCATGAGCGTGGAGACGGTCACCGTCAGCATCGCGAGGATGGCCACAGACACGGCGTCGAGCACATTCAGCTCGTGCGACTTCCAGGGCCAGTAGAAGCAGGTGGCGGCCAGATACGTCAGCAAGATCGCCACCACGTAGACCGCCTGCGCCGCAGGGTCGTCCGGCGCGACAGCAGGCGCGAATGCGAGCATCAGCTGCCTGACGTTCAGGGGTGCGCCCCACCAGAACACGTCTGGCCGGAACCGGAAGAAGAGGTAGCGGAAGCAAATCAGGTGGCGCTCCTGGGCTCCCATGCTGCTGGAGCTCCCGCTGGACTCGAAGGCCTTCACCGTGGCCCAGATGTTCAACGTCACGAAAGGAAGCACCAAGACCACCAGCACCACCAGCGCCATCGCAACGAACGGCCCGTGCTCCTCGCTGCCACAGATCACGTTCGGGTAGAGCACCAGGCTCTTCTGACCGTTGGGATGGGTGTAGCACTGGAACGGGATGGCGACCATACCTACGAGGGCGATGAACAGGACCTCAGACGCCGACGGCCCCCCTGATCCAGGCCGATCCGCGGCCCGATCTTGATCCTGGTCTGGCTGGCCTGGTCCATTACAGAGCGCGGAGCACTCCTCTGATCACAGACCAGGGTGATGCCACCAGCCCTTTGGGCTAGGGTGGTCTAACGAACGAGTTTTTTTGCTTCCTCTCCCCAAGCCTTCTTCCCTTCGGGGAGGGGTACCCTCCCCCTCCCCCCCGTGAGGGTTTTTGCGACGGGCCGCGATGTGGTGGAGGGTCCTTTTTCGCCCAAGATGGCTCCAAGAGGGCCTCGGATGCTCCAAGATGGCCTCCAAGGCGGCTCCAGATAGCCGAAGATGGTTCACGATAGCTTCCGACATACCTCCGAGAGACGTGACGAGGGCCACAAGACTGATCCACGTGCTCTCGGAGCCTCCTCAGGACCACCCCAAGGGGCCCGAATCCTTCAAACACCTAAAACATATCACTGATTTGGGCCTTCTCGCCGTTTCGCTTCTGATGCGGTTTTGACGCCTCAAGACGCCCCCAAGATGGCCCAAGTGAGGCCCGAGAGGGGCCCAAGAGGTCCCCCTAAACGGCGCCAAGAGCGCCTCAGATCGGCCTGAGAGCGCCCCAAGAGGCGATTTCGTGGGCTCTTGGGGGCGGAAGTCGAGGACCACCCCCCTTCGATCGATGGCCTCCAAGATTGCCCCAAGAGGGCCCCAAGACGGCTCCCAAAAGCGCCCAAGAGCGCTCCGAGAACGTCCCACAGAGGCGGCTTGTCTCCACCTCCTCCTCGCCTCCGCGCGGGCCGTAAGCATGGCCCGACGAGGCAATACAAAGCCACCTCCTTGCTCCCACAATTCTCGCTGTTCATCCTGGTTGCCCGCTTTGTTTCACTATATGAGTCTCGTCGTACTTTTTCTCGTCAACTCTCATGGGGAACGTTTCTGATGAACGGGCTGGTAGGGATACGCGAAGCGTGAGCAATGATTCTAAGAGCAAGGCCTGGAATACGGTGCAGATGGAATTGACCGTCTTCACGGGCTCCCATACAAAGCTGCTCAAGCTGCTTCTGACCAGGACAACCAGCTTGGACAGCATGAACAGCGCCCCGAAATTGAGTAGCACGACGAAGGGAACCAAGAAACGCATCGAGTAGCGCGCCGCTGCGTCCTGGCTCAGGAGGCACTCCACCCTCAGGCTGTTCGGGTCCAGTAGGAAGACCTGCATCCCTGACATGAGCGAGCGACCTCCTCCCGACCATGGCAAACTGAGCTGCCTCAAGGTGCCGAGCAGCTGCGCACTCGTCACCAGGATGCCGCTGGAGACGCTGGCTGCCAGAGAGACGGTAGCGTTGGACTTCACCGGCGAGTTCGAGCAGTAATAGACGAAGACGGCCAGGGCACTCGTGCCCAGCAGCGCGAGCACCGGCAAAGCCCGGTTGACGTCGGAGCACGAGGTGCACTGTCCGCCCGTCAACAGCTCCCCCTCGGGACACGCGGCGCAGACGAGCCCGACCCTGCCCCCCAAGCACGCACCTGGCAGCCCGCCACCGCAGGCGTCCTCGCCATGGCACCTGAACACGCTCAGCGGCTCCGTGGGGGAGGAGTAGTACCCCGCGCTCAGCAGCGGGGTAGGACGGCCGCCGTCCGGATCGCTCGCGCCCGGCGCCGGCACCTCGAACCCCGCCTCCGAAGAGCCGAACGCGCACTGCATGCCGGCTGGGCACGGCTCGCAGGTCGCGTTGCCCTCCTGCGGCGCGTAGGTGCCCGCGGCGCAGCCGCAGTCGCTGCCGTCGACGGAGCCAGGGAACTCCGTGGTCAACATCCCTGGGCAACCGGTGCACAAGCTCGCTCCCTTGCCGGCGAACGTGCCGGCCTCGCAGCGGACGCAGTGGCTCATGCCCTCGCCAGCCTGCGCGTAACCCACCGCGCAATCGTCGCAGGACGTGGCGCCCACCTCTTCCGAGAAGCTACCCGCCAGGCAGGGCGCGGCCGCCACCGCGCCCGCCCCGGCCACGTAGGCACCCTTCGGGGCGGGCTCGCAAGCAGACGCGCCCGCGGCCGACTGGAACGAGCCCACCGTGCAGTCAAAGCACTGGGCGTCCTCCTCGGGTCCGTACCTGCCGGGGGCGCAGGGGGCGCAGCCGGCGACCGCCCCCTCGTACTCCTCGCCGCGGCCGCAGGGCTCGGGCCTATCCGCTGGCACCTGGCTGGTGCCGTCCGCGAAGAGCAGCGCAGACGTGAAGGCGATCGTGCCGCTGGCGCCATCGAACTGCCCCACGCTCCCGAGCTGCGACCCCTGCAGGTTCATGATGTCGTACGGCGCCAGCCGGTCGCCGACGGAGTCGAATGCGATGCGCCCGGAGAGCCCCTCGAACTCCGCGGCGAAGACCGCGTCCCGCAGCGCGTCCCCCGCGATGTCTGCAGCGCTCAGCCCAGTGGAGAGCAGGTCGCTGATCGCCACGAAGAATGTCGTCATCGCGTCGAAAATGAGGGAGTAGTAGATCTTCGTGTCCAGGACCTGGAAGTCCTGGAAGAAGGAGGGCTCGCAGTGGGACTCCGCGGACATGCCCGCGACCCTCAGCCGGTCGCAGGTGAGGTTGGTCCAGAAGCCGTACCACGCCGCGGACTGGTAGCGGGGCCCCTGCGACACCGGCAGCAAGCAGACCATGCCACCCATGCGCTCCGGCAGGGCGGACCAGTTATAGCCGCCCTCCACAAAGACAGACGTCTCTGGGCTGGCCGCCGCGAAGGCCAGCTGGTTGTCGGCGACCCACAGCAGGCTGTTCACCGAGCATGCGGACTCGGCGAGGAGCCACACCGTCTGGGAGCTCACCAGCCCCTGCTCGTCGAAGGCGCGCAAGATGGGCCCCATGGCCCTCTCGTTCCCGGGGCTCATGAAGATGCGGGGCTGGGGGAACATCGACGCGACCTTCTTCGCCACTGACTCGACGAGGGAGTAGTCGTAGGCCGCGGCGTCGTCCCCCGTCTGCAGCGGCTGGTCAGGCAGCGGCTCCTGGAAGATGGCCACGCTGGGGTCCCCCGCGGCCACCATGTTCTTGAAGTTGGCCGCCACCGCCTCTGCGTAGGCCGAGACGGGGTACACCACCACGACGCGCTTCCACCCGTAGTAGACCACGAGCCGCGCGAGGCCATAACCCTGACTGCTGTCTGGCGAGATGGTGCGGGCGAAATACGGGTAGTTGGACTTGACGCCCAGCTCAGGGCTCGTGGCGGCGCCCGACACCACCGTGACCGAGAAGGGGTTTGCGAAGGTGGCCGTCACCTGAGCCGTTTTTTTTTGTTTTGTTTTTCTCCCACTCCCTCTCTCTCTCTTCCATCCCTTGGTTCACAGGGGATGGGGAGGAGGAATGGGGGGGGGGAGACGGATCGTGGAGGCGGAGGAGGCGGAGGAGGAAGACGAAGCCGCCGACACCTTCGTGGAGCTGCTGCAGCCGCACCCGGAGATGCCCACCACGGGGTCCGACTCGTTCTCGGAGCTGATGCGGCCCGGGGCCGCGCCCGTTCCGAAGAGCAGCGGCGGGGCCATCTCGGCGGCCGAGGCGCCGGAGCACTGCGTGTCCACGGCCTTGATGTCGACCTGGAAGCTCCTGTTGGCCACGACGTCGTCCAGGTACCCGTCCTCCAGGGCCACCTTTCGAGTAGGGGATCGACTACAGAATTGACGCACCCCAGAAGTAATTTTCTCGCCGAATCTAAAAAACATACGTGGAGTGATCTACGAAGATTCTACGCGTTTTCGTGCATCCGACGAGAAAACCAATTTCGGGGTAAACCAATTCTGTAGTCGATCCCCTACTCCAACCTTGGCCGCGTAGTCCATCAGCTGGTACATCCGCGAGGTGGACCCGAAGTAGCCGCAGGCGCCCAGCTTGATGGTGGGCAGGGCGCCCGCGGCAGCCCGCGCCAGGCACAGCAGCGCGAGGAGGAAGGGGCAGCAACGGCGGGGCGCCATGCGGGCAGAGCGCCCGCCCCTGGGCAGCGGACGGCAAGGCCGGACCTAAACTTAGGTCGGGCATGTCCCGCTACAGGCGTATTCTGGGCGAAAAATTCGAAATACCGGCAGAAATATCCTGGGCGAAATATTCAAAAATTAACACAAATGGTCAGGAAATCGTCCCCGTGCCATTTTTCGACTATTTCTGAATACTCCGCCTTTGGAGGGGCACGCCCAACGGAAACCTAAACGCTGTTTTGCTGGGTTTCGGATGTGTTCTGTTTCTTCGTTTTGGCAGGGAAGTAATTACAGGAAAACCGGTCGGGAGCAAGACGTAACACACAACGCACACAAAACGAGGGAAAACGCTTAGGTCCAGCCCTGGTGGACGGAGGGGCCTGGGCAGCGCGCCTGTCGCGGAGTGGCGGCCAAGAGGCAAGCAAAAAAGCCTTGCACCGAAGGGCAGCGGAAGGGTCCGCGCACCGGGGGGGGGGGGCCACGGGCTCTCGAGCAGCCATCCCCGTCGCCCCGGGAGGGCATCCCCTGTGAGATTCGATGGGGTCTTCACATGACAGCGACCAGTTCTGTCTCTGTCTGGCTGTCTGGTTGTCTACCTGTCTGTCTGTCTACCTGTCTGTCGGTCGGTCGGTCGGTCGGTCTGTCTGTCTGTCTGTCTGTCTGTCTGTCTGTCTCTCGCTCTGTCTCTTTTCCTCCCCTTCTGTCTATCTGCATCTACACATGCCGTTGTAGCCACACGCATGTCATGTGTACGGATGCATGCACAAGCTAACGGTCATAGATGCATCGTTCTATGCATTTTAGAGACACAGGTCCCCGAATAGTGCTTGCACTTACGGGTCCTGATCAATTTTCTAAGGAATTGGGCTGGCGTGCCGGTTTGGGGGCTATGTAGCCGCCGTCGCCGCCTCGTCGCCGCCCGTCGAATGGGCGGGTGTACCGGTCTGGTGGCTATGTAGCCGCCCCGTCGCCGCCTCATCGCCGCCAGTCGTCTGGGCCTGTCTGCCGATCTGGCGGCTATGTAGCCGCTGTCCCCGCTCGCCGCCGACGTTAGATTTATTGCTCCACATATATTCTGTTTTCCACAAAAATAATAGGATCCACCACTTCCCGCCCCCGGGTTTACCGGTACATTTTTTAGTTTTGCACTTTACATATGATTCTGCCCCACCGTCCATTCGAAATCTGAACTCGCACCCTCCCAACCCAGCGGTATCGACCCCCCCGCCATCCTCTGCAAAACATACTATGCGCGCGTACTCGTTTACCAACAGTTATCCGTTTGCAAGAATTCCTCGCAAACAACTGGGACGAAGTGCACGCGCGTGCGTCGTCGCGCGCGCATGCCCAAATCCTTCAACAGCCGTCGGGTTTCAAAGATAAAAAAATCGAGCCTCCAACACGTGGTTTCGCAAAACGGGTTTTCAAACAAAAACGTGCGCGCGCGCTCTTGCGAACTCTTGGGCAAACCATAGGTTTTCCAACATTTTTCAGAATTTGCTACCAAACGGGCTTCGCGCGTGTGTCGAAACCGTTCGAACGCCCTTGCGCGCGTGCCGTCGCGAGAATCCTTTGCAACAAACATGACGAAGTGCACGCGCGCGCGTCGATGTTTGAATTCTGCCAAACGGGCCTCTGGCGCCGCATGCCGACATCACTCGCACGCCCTTGCGTGCGTGCTGGGGGGGGGGGGGGGGGGGGGGGGGGTGGGGGGGGGGGGGGGGGGGGGGGGGGGGGGGGGTGGGGGGGGGGGGGGGGGGGGCACGAATCCGCGGCAAGTAAAACCAAGCGGGGCAACACTCGCAGGCGCGTCGGCCGCGCGCGCGTCGAACTCTGTCCAAAACCTTCATCACCGACGCGAGGACGCCGTCATCGTCGCCGGCGTGATCAGCATCGGCGCCCGCACTGGCCGCGCCTTCGGTGCGAACATCGTCACCAGCATCGCTACTACCATCATCGTGTCTACCGTTGTCGGCGTTGCCATGGTACCGCGCCCACCCAAATCGCCGACTATGAAATGCCCGCTGGGATGCGCGCAGCGGTCAGCGCCACCGCGGCCGCGTCGGTGGCGCCAAACTAGCTGGCCGCTGCGCGCGCGTGCTAGGGTTGGCGCGCCCGCAGAGATGCACCAGACAACGTCAAGCATGCATCGCAATCGCCACCGCATGGGTTTTGCAAACCCAATTGCGGGTGGGTGGGTGGGATGTTTGCAAGAGCATGGGACGTGTCAACTCGTTTGTTCAATTCAGTTGCACCACATATATGGATCCACGTCGAGTGCGCCACATATATTGCACAACGTAGATTGCACAACCTAGGTTGCACCACGTACAGTGCACAGCATGATTGAACAACATGGGTTGCACCATCTATGAAACTGTAGATTGAACCACCGATGTTTTACCGCATATCTTGCAACACATAGGCTGCATCACGTAGTTTGCACCCCATGTATCGCGCACCATATCTTGCCCCACATAGATTTCAAGCAATATGTTACATGATGCTGGAGAAAAGCCCCATTCATAATCTTTTTAGAGCTGCAGGGCCATGGGGCCATATGGCCATAGGGCTATAAGGCTATGGGGCTAGAAGGCTATAGGGCTCTGAGGGGCTATAAGGCTATAGGGCTATTAGGGCTATAGGCTATTAGGGCATTAGGTCATCAGGGCTATAAAGATACAGGGCTATATGGCTATAGGGTTACAGGACTACGGGGCTATAAGGCTATAAGGCTGTGGGGCGATAGTGCAATTTGGGCTATCGGGCTATAGGGCTATTCGGGTTGTAGGGCTATAGGGCTATAAGGCTGTAGGGCTATGGGGCTATAGGGCCTTGCACCCAAACACCCGGGCATATGGGCACCTGGGCGTGCCGCCGAAATCGGCGCCAACCCCTCACCTAACCATATGAATCCGCGAGGAGCCCTACAGAGGCAAGCTCTGATTGGGGAAACACGTAGTTTGCACCACAAGTACTGCACAACAGATATGGCCCCACATTGAGTGCACACCGTAGAGGGCCCAACACAGTTTGTTCCACATCAATTGCACCACAGATATTGCAAAACGAAAACTGCACCACATAGATTGCACAGCATATGTTGCATTACATCTATTGCCCCACATCGGTTGCTCCATATATACTGCACAATGTGTAGTGCACTACACCAATTGCACCACATCTAATGCACCATATAGGGTGCACAACATTTGTTGTTCCACCTAGGTTGCACAGTATCTAATGCTCCACATATGTTGAGTAACATCTAAAGAATAGAAGCACGCTGTTTGGGGTGCGCGCTGGCTAATATACTACATACGAGTCTATGCATACAAGACTGCATAGGCGCTTCGCGCCATTCGTCTTGGTCCTTCAATTTCGGCCTGCGGGCGGAATGTGAGAGAGGTAAATGAGTAAGCAGAGTAGTCACACGTTCTTGCTGTGTTCGTCATCGTTGTAGCGTGTTGCCGTCTCCTTGTCTTGCCTCTTCCTCGTTCTCTCCTTCCCGTGCGAACCTTCCCGCCCTCCTCATTGAGCTTGAGGGGGATCATCCTTGCACTCTTGGAGGGCCCACGAAACCTTTTTCGGGGCTTCTTGGGGGCTTCTGGAAACTCCTGGGCGCCTTTTGGGGGTATCTGGGGGCTTTCTCGGGCCACCCTGCTACGAACCACGGCCGCGGCACGGCTCTGTGGCTATCGAAGAGGCGCGCGGCGGCACCCGCAGGACCAGCCAGTGTGGCCAGCGAGTAACCACAACCTCCTCCTCCTCCTCCTCCCTCTTCTCCTCCCCCCCCTGCGGGTTACATTGCTGGAACGCTGACGGGGCTCGCGAGGTGAAGGATGCCTATGGCAATGTGAAGCCCTGCGGTGGAGTCTGATATCCCAGCGCCGAGCTCACCTGCAGAAGTGGTCGCAGAGCTGAGGAGGAAGATCAGAAAAGGAGTGAGTGTGCGCGCACTCGTCGCCTTGCACCACTCCGTACAAAGAGCTGAGGGCTACGCCCTGCCACAGCCTGTGGGAAGAGAGTGAGGCTGCGTCTGCATCAGGGTCTGCGAAACAAGGATCGGGGCGCGCTGTAGCTACGCGTGCAACGAATTCGGGCTCAGACACCTAGGACATCCTTCGTGCCGGAGGGGTCTTGGACGCCCGACGCGAGACCGCCCTCGGTGCCTGAGGGGTCTGGGTTGACCGACTCGGGGACGTCCTTCGTGTCGGAGAGATCTTGGCCGCTCGTGAGGAGCGTGCTGAGGCCGCTGCGCGTGGAGCCTGTGGCTCCTCCTCCTTCTCCTCCTCCTCCTCCTCCTCCTCATCCTCCTCCCCTCCTCCCCTCCTCCCCTCCTCCCCTCCTCCTCTCCTCCTCCTCCTCCTCCTCCTCCTCCTCCTCCTCCTCGTTCCTCCTGGCTCCTCCTCTCCTTCTCTTCTAACCTCTTTCCTCGTCCTCGTCCTCCTCCTCCTCCTCCTCCTCCTCCTCCGCCCTCTCCTCTCCTCCTCCTCCTCCGCCTCCCTTCTCCCTTCCTCGCCTTCCTCCCTTCCCCTCCCCTTCCTCCCTTCCTCCTTCCTCCTTCCCTTCCTCCCCTCTTCCCTTCCTCCCTTCCTCCCTTCCTCCCTTCCTCCCTTCCTCCCTTCCTCCCTTCCTCCCTTCCTCCCCTCCTCCCCTCCTCCTCCTCCTCCTCCGCCAGAGATCCCAGATTTCGTCGTGTCGGGGTCGCCATCGTGGTCGTCAATCAGTTCGTTCCGTTCCTGTGCGAGCAGTCTGTTGCTGGTCCGCTTCCAGGCAAATATCAGACGGTTCCCCGTGGGGAGCTCATGGCGCTCCTGATCGCTTTGCGTTTCACTCACGAGCACCTGGTTTTCGTTTCAGACAACGAAGAGGTGGTGCGAGGGTGGTGGCAGCGTCGTTGGGAGTCACCGAAAGGAGAGTTGGCAGATTTGTGGAGAGAAGTAGGAGTTTTGCTCACGGACAGAGCTCCAGAGAAGATTGCAGTCTTGCAGATCTCG